GGCCCAGACTCCAGGCTCTCCATACGATTTTGCGATGCTACGCCGACCTCCTTCGACCACCCTCCGAGTAACGACTTCTGCAGGCTGTGAACTATACGGGATCGTATGGTGAATCCGGAGGGCGCCATCTGACATCCATACGGTGATTTCCGAAGGTGGATTTCGGATAGTAAGTGGAGCGGTGACTTACTATCTGAAATCGTACAGCAGATAGTAGTGGAGCGAGACCCATAGATGCGTACTACCAATAAGATGAGATGAGATAGATGAGCGAAGAATATGGCTTACTTGAAAAAAACAAAAAAAACAAAAAAACAAAAAAACAAAAACAAAGGCTCAAGTCTTTGCAGTAGTCTTTGCGGTTTTGTCAGCGGGTGCGCTTATTCTGAGGCTCAACGTTCTTTTTTTTTTTTTTTTTTTTGGGACGCTCAACGTTCTGCTATTGGGAGGCAAGATCATCTTCTTTCAAACTCGGAGTGTACTCAGCTATTGTCTATTTCCTGTGGACATCGCCGAGTCACAAGAACCACCAGCCTCATCGCCCTTGTGTGTCTCCTGTTCTCGAACAAGTGGGCGAGGAGTCTGGTGGTTCTCGTGACTCTACTCGACCTATCCCTTCATGAGCACGGCTGTTTTGCCTGCTCGAAAACTTGAAGCCCAAGCCCTCGTACTGTATCCGCTCTGTCTCATGTATATTTCTTTCGGCTTCCTTCTTTTTTTTTTTTTTTTTTTTTGAAAGAAACATCCCGAGCTAACGCTAGGGGTGCTGATAAGAGCAGACACCGCTAGCGCCGTCAGGAAGGCTCCATCTATTGGTGGGGAGCGGCACCTGCTGGAAATCGGGTCCAGCGTCCCTAGACATGGCAATCATTTGATTATTCGAGCAAAAAATTGTGACGACTTGTAAAGTATGTGCGTAAACAAGTGTATGATGATGAGCAGCATTGATTGCCCTCGAGAAAGGGGATTAACTGCTCAGAAATCGTGCCTTCCTTACCCTACCGTGCTCCACCCATCCGCCAGTAGGTAAAGTGGTCATCAGCAAACGAGGGGGGGGGGAAACACGGCAGAGCCAGAAACCACAATCGTTTCCCAACACCCCAACCCTAACCGTAATGACAAGCCTCCGCATCAACCATCCTAGGGAAACAGTCATCAAACACTGTATAGTAATTATCAAACACAAGACAGGGATATCGAAGAAAACCCTAACCAGTCCCCCTACCGCCAGGGAGGCCACCACCCCTGCGTGATTGGAGTTGCGGACCGGACAACTCCAATCCTCGCCAACTAACCCACGCCCATCCGCTGCCAACCAGCAATTGCGCCGTCGATCCCAATAACACCGGTATTATCATCGATCCTTTGACCAACAATTCCATTTCCACAGTTATCGTCGACGAGCCTTTTGTCGTCAATTTCGTCTCCGCAGTTGTCGTCAGCAAGGAAACTGTGGTCAATATTCTTGAGCTGTTTGTTGTTGTTGTTGTCGTTGTTGTTGTTGTTGTTGTTGATGATGTTGTTGTTGTTGTAGTCGTTGTTGTTGTTGAAAATGTTATCGTCATTGCCGCCGTTTACATTGATGTTCTCGCCACCTCCAACGACGATCCCTCTGCTAGCGATGTCACCTCCACAGTTGTCGTTCAAGACACCAAGAGAGCTGTAGTTGATAATCGTGAGCTCATTGTTGTTGTTGTTGTTGTTGTTGTTGTTGTTGATGTTATTATCATTGTTATTGTCATTGTCGTTACTGTCGTTGCAGTCGATGTTGGTGTTGAAGCTGTTGCCGCCTCTGCTGTCTTCAATTGTTGTCGCAGGCGACAATCCCGCCTCCAAAGCTGCACAGCGATCCTGGCCGTTCCTAAAGATGTCGTAGCATCTGTGCATGAGCGAGTCAGCTTGATGCCAATCAACAAACTCCTCCAGCGAAGGAGCCGGCCCCTCCTCCAACTCCCAAATGATATCAAGCATGCTYTGCATCATGTCCTCCAGCCATGGCGCAAGTGTGACTGTCCCCCCTACAGCCCCCAACCAATCACCATGGCTCGAACACAAAATATCCACAACCTCCTGCAAACGGCGGCAGCCATCTTCTATAGTCTCCAACCATTCTGCCGCACCATTTCGTATTTCTTCATTAGGAACCATGTCGTCCAAAAAACGCGTCGTCGGATCCTTCAAATCAGACGCCTCACACCGACGTACCGCCCCTGGTGTATCTGGTGGGAATACCACCATCGCCTGGACAGAGCGACCAAGCAGACACCACGATGACCAAGAACAGCTATGGAACCACAACTGTCCTAGTCCACGGAGTATGGCTGGACCTCGCCAGCCGGTCCGTAGTGCAGGTTAGCGCTAAGCGTCAGCGCGTCCCCTATGAGACAGGCTTCCTAGTACTTGCCAGTCGCTAAGTTGTGTCAGATGACATGACTGGGTGAGAGCCGTTCTCCATACGAGTACGGGCCTCGCCACACCACTCTTGAAACCTGGTTTTCAAGAGTTGGAGTCGTCGCCACACAGCCACTTGAGAGTTGTGGCCCGAAAACTCTTTCGAGAGTTGTCAGAACCTCGTTTCGAGAGTAGCTCTCGAAACTCCTAAACGCCCAGCCTGCAGCACCGCGCTTTTCAAGCGTCCTCCCGAGGGCACTCGAAGGACTCTCGATTTTCGAGAGCTGTTGGGCCGTTATCCTGACTCCATTCGGAAAAAACAAAGCTACACGGCTGTCGTTTTCCATCGTTTGTCCAACACCATCACGCTTTCGAGAGTGCTGTGTGGCGAGGGGCCCGGAACTCTTGAAAACCCAACTCTTGAGAACGTCTGACAGCTCTTGAAAAATTTCCCCGTTTCAAGAGTGGTGTGGCGAGGCCCTACTTCTCCACCTATGGTGATCCCGTAGGTTTGATTTCTCTTGGCGTCTTGTTCTGTACAATGAGTGACCGGGGGCGTGGTCCCACAGTCAAAGAGGATCGGATGGAATGCCTGAATCTGGATGACTTTATGGATATGTGCATGAAATCGAGATTGAACGGCTTTTCTGAATCTGTGCTTAAACATGTCCAGATTCAGGAGCTCGATCCTATCCTTTTTGCTAGTGGGACCTCAGCCCGGGGAATTGGTTGGAAGCAGGGAACTGCCAAGCGGCTTGGAGGAGCCTGTGTTTGTAAAAGTAGGAGGGGACCTCCGTCACCATTATAGCATCATATAGCCCTTTCAAGGAGTTTACACATCCCATGCTTTCTTTTTTTTTTTTTTTTTTTTTTTTTTTTTTTTTTTTGAGAGAGAGAGAGAATAGGGGTATCCTTTGTATTTTTTTCACGTTGGAGATGCGGAGGAGAAGAGAGGTGGGTTGCGTGGTGGTGGTGGTGGGGGTGGGAGGTGGGTTGTAAGGGGACATGAAACAACCGACATGACTGCGATTTTGGGCGGTGGGTGGTCGGTGGGTATTGAGGGGTTAAGCATGTCGTCGTGGTGCTTGTATTGGGTTTCAGGTTTTCTATTGAGATGCGCACTATGTTTACTGTCTCATTGCTGAGCAATTTCGTGAGGAGAACTTGGGCGCTTTCGCTGGGGAAAAAAAAAAAAAAAAAATCCTTGATAATGGGCATCACTCCCCTAATCTCCAAATGTGCAAAGTGAGAGTGGAAACCAGGAGGAGAGGCGACACGACCGGCGCTGAGCGGTCCGTCGTAGCGCCGCTGGTTCAGGTGGACCGGCCTCGCCAGTCGTCACCCTAGCAGGCAGCTAGAGCAAGCGACCATCGCCCATCATCCCGCCTGGGCCGCCTGGCACCATAGCCAGGCCAACTCTCTGCCAAGGCAGACGGGGGGATATGGGGGCGAGTCGGCGAGTCAGCTTATCATTCATCAACCTTCATGTGTACCGATATGGAACCGGACAGGCGCAGGCGCCCTGTTCCCGATGAGGAAAGGAAGCACCGGCGATAGCATCGCCCGAATTCTGCCGAAGAAGTCAAACCAATCCTGCCGTTGACCTCTGCGGGCGACTGCCCTCCAAATGGAGGCAAGCAGGTATAGCCCCTCACAACTCCCTTCCCTCCCCACACTAGCTGTACACCGAGGTCTCCCATCCCTCCCTAGCTTCGCACAACCCGACCCACACTTGGCAAACCCCCTCGACCTTAATCTAACACACGTACAGACAGCACAGATCCCCGCACGCTCTACCATTCAGCGAACCTTCTCACCACCCAATGTCACCCCCCGTCACCATCCTATTCAATCGTGAAGCTTGCCTCGTCCTCGCCCGACACCTACGTCTCTCCCACAGCCTCTTGCCTACCCAACAAAACCCACATCACGGTCCCTAAAAGGCTCCCCTAGACCAACAATGCGCCCAGATTCACACCCCCCCACCCACATCATACTCAAAACCCTACCCTACTCAGGTAAGCCCCACCCCCCTCTTTCTCAGCAATTTCCCACAACCCCATCGCCCTATGCCCACACCCCTCCTTCCCAGCCTCCCCCCCCATTCACCACCACCTCTCCCCTTCAGCGACCACCCCTCCACCCGACCCACCACACCCAATCCCCCCCACGCTAACATCCCCACCAAAAACACCACCCCGCCTAACCCTGACCCAACCACCACCCAACGAACTCGCCCTCTTGTGACGTCCAAACCTCACACCCGGCGCGACTTCCTGATCGGAGTGGGATATGGGCCTGGAAGTGCGAGAAGGGGTGTGCCAAGGATTTTTGGGAAAAGTGGGGATGGAGTCCCAGGTCGGAACTGAGATCTCCTGTGGCAAAGTTTCAGGGGCATAGATGCAATAGAGCTAAGGGGGCGAGTTACTTCTGGTCTAATGGGGGTCGAGGTCGTGCAGCATAAGGCAGATGGCATGCGCGGTGCATTCAAGGTCGTCCGATCCGTCTGTTTTGGTGGCGGCGGTTCGGGAAGAGGCCTGCCCGGGATGGTTGTGATTCCGATGAGTCGGACCTTCGGGTGCAGACACGTGGCGTCTGTCGTCGCGCGTTTTGGTTAGGCCCCGTAGTTTCAGAGGCTCGTCGGTTGCCGCGTCGGCAACAATTTCCGCAAGGCGTGTGAAGCCAATACGGGGCGATGGAATTCCACGGAACCACCGTGAGTTGGTGATACGAGAGAAGGAGACGGAAGGGAGGGAAACTGTTAGTGATAACGACGAAGCCGACGGATATGAAGTATTGCATGCTATCCGTATTGGGAAAATCGGGGCACCTCGGATTGCTGGTTACGGCACAGTGAAACTCCCTGGGGCACAATCGGTTCTCGGTTAGGCAGGGGAATTCCGGGTATCTTTGCCTAATACATTCTCTCACCCCAGGGTCGAAGTACTCCGAGTCCCCGGAGCTCGGCATCTTATCATTGCGGCGTAATGGAAGCCTTCCGCACGCGTCTAACCGGCAAGGGGATTTTCCCGATGTGATATCGAAAATTCCTATCCGTTTAGGTGTGTGGGGGAAGGAAAATTCCCGCCTACCCGATACCGGAGATGTCAAGTTCGTCAATGGTCGCGAATCGGCGCGCGTGGATACGCGTAGGCTGCGCAAATCGAATCGCGCTTACACGTATCCCCGCGGGGTGTTCGCTTGTTTCGAGGAGAATGAGAGCCTAATTCCTTGTGCAAAATCGCCATGTGCCGTAAACAACTACCCAATCATCTAAGCACTCCGTGATCCCGCAGACAATCATTCCCGAGCATGCAAGGCGTTATCACACATTCGACATCACGGCAACATCAGAACAACAGCGGATCAAAGTGATAAGCAATAATGGAAGCGATAATGACGATTATGCAAAAATTTCTACCATGGTTATGGGTGTATCATAATTGCAGGCAAAGGCAATGACCAGACAAAACAAAAACAACAGACATAACATTCATTCATCCAGTTATTCGACAGAACATACAATAGTTGAGATCAAGATCAATCGCAAAACAAGGGTGGGCTGAAACCAAGGCAAAGATTCTGAAAACAAGAGGAAACGGGCAAGTCGCCCTGAGCCGAGATCAAAATTTATATACAGAAGCAAAGAGGGAGACAAGACAAAGAAAATCGCAAATCCACGTCCATGAACCTCAACTCTTTCTTCCTCTCTCTCTCTCCGCTGCGGACAGTCCGTCGTCAAGCACCAACCCACGAAGTCGTCACCTCGCTTAGTCCTCTTGCACCCGTCAGGTTCGCCCGCGCGCTACAGTCCGTCGTAGCCCCACGCGTCAACCCCGCGCATTTGGCACCAGCTCGTCGGGTCGCCCGACCCCTACTTCAACTCACCTCTTACTTCGCTCGTGAGCCGACCCTCACTGATCGCGCTACCCCGAGCTTCCAACAGCTGGTTAAGAGAGCTATCTAATCGCAAAACCGGAATTTATAGCGTGCATGCATGCGCGAAGAACACGGAATTGCAAGGACTTAGAAAGGAAATTAGGAGAGGGAGCGCCTACGTTCTGCATGGCCAGACCGCAGCGTGGGGGACGTAGCCACTCTCCACGCATCGATCCGAGCATGCAGGCCGCGGGGCTAACTAGGCACAGCAAAAGGGAAAGAGAGAGCGGGAAAGATGAAGCTCAAGAAGAAAGATACAGTTACAATGGCGTCCGCCCAAGAATTACAGTTGCTTGCAAGATTAAGGGCGCCGACTAATCAGAGCTCCGTTGCAGCCGCAAAAAGAAACGCGCAAGAAAGACAACGCGCGGCAAAAGAAATCCTGAATTCCTAAATTCCTAGCTAATGCAAAAAAAAGCACAAATTCCGAAAAGAAAATCCGGAGTTCCGATAGCCGTGAAGGGCTCGACAAGATTCAAAAAAGAAATTAAAAAAGAATGAAGCAAAATTTCCGCACGACCTCCGCACCGAAAACCCGACAACAGAACAAGAAAGAAGCGTCGTCAAACATTATTATTCGCGCCTTTGTCGGCGCGACAGCCACTCAATCGGCTATCTCGGGACTTGCCCGGCCCTGAACCTAGCCATCCGAAAAGAAGCGACGAAAGAGAAAAGACGAAAAAACGAGGACACTGATGCAATTTCCCTTCGATCCCGATCTCCCGTAATTGGCCCAACCTTCCCATCTTAGGACCCCTCATTGTCATCGCGCAGAAGATCGCGCGGAACAGAAATTGGTTCGTCACACTCTCCCCCCCATCATCCCCCTACCCTGCTTTTAGTGGCCTCCCTCCTTGGAGACTATTACCCCTCCCCTCCCTCCGACAGTTTTCCGCAGTACGCACCCTCTCTGCCCGGCCCACCCCTACTCCCCATCTGACCACCTATACACTCACCAATAAACTCTGACCTCTCTCACAAATACCCCTGGCCCACCGT